ATACTAGGAGATTATACATTCAGAATAAGCATTAACATTTTCTGCAAAAGGCTTCTACATTTATTAAATTATAAATAAACCTGTGTGGCCCTCTCTAATTTAAAACAAAAGTGTAACTGACTTTTTCCATTTTCCTGATGTTGCTGCTTCCATGATTTTAATATCATAATAGTTTCTATAGATGTTAATACTGAGTTATAATTTATTTTGCTTTCTATCAGTGTTTAACTTGAGTATGTTAGCTGTCTTAGACCTCGGCCATAAGAGGAGGGAAGGAGGGAGGAGAGGGATGCAGGAGACAAATCATTTTATATGTAATGAAATAAATGAGTATAAAAGGACATTTTCAAGATGCTAGATTTTTTCCCCCCAACTACATAGGCAGTGTTCAGATAAGGAGTCACTGTCCTAATTATCTACTCATGTTGAGCCAGGCCTGTTTGCATCAATGCCGTGTACTCACAAAATTTCTCATTCTCTTCTGTTTTTCCATTTTCACCACATCAAGACTTCCCACTGAGATTTTTCTTTTTATCAGCAAGATTCCTGGCTTCCCAGGAAAATAAGACCGTGGTCTTGTTCCACCAACAACAACCAAATTCTGCAGAGCTTGGTGCCTTTTTTTTGGGGGGGGGGGAAGAATTTTGTGCATGAAAGATGTCATTGTGTGCAAACTGTTTGGCATTTGTTTTAAAAAATTACCGCAGAACTTCCAAGAAATCCTGTAAGACATCCAGCAAGACTTTTGGCCTGGGGCACAGCAAAAAGCAGAAGATTCACGTTGTGCATTAAAGATGTCATTGTGTGCAAGCTGTCTGGCATTTGTTTTAAAAAATTACCGCAGAACTTCCAAGAAATCCTGTAAGACATCCAGCAAGACTTTTGGCCTGGGGCACAGCAAAAAGCAGAAGATTCACGTCTCTTAAGGCCCACAACCTTGTCTGCCTCACCATCTGCTTCTGGACTTGGAAGACTAGACACTATCTCAAGGGAACATAGGAAGCTTAGCTACCCTACCTTAGGTAAAGGTAAAGGCAAAGGTTCCCCTTGACATTTTAGTCAGTCGTGTCCGACTCTAGGGGTCGGTGCTCATCCCCGTTTCCAAGCCGTAGAGCCAGCGTTTGTCCGAAGACTGTTTCCAAACTTGCTGGCATATTGAATGTAGCACCTTAACAGCATCATCTTTCAAGATTTTAAATAGTTCAACTGGAATGCCATCACCTCCACTGGCCTTGTTGTTAGCCAAGCATCTAGCAGGTAAGCCAAGCAATATGGCCCCCAGGCAGGCAGTAATCAGCAAATACGGGGCTCAGAATGAGTTGGCCGCCATTCTCTCCCTCCGTCTTCTTCTTCCGCCTTCTTTAGTTGCAGGAACATAGCAATAACACTCAGAAATCTGAATTCCTTTGATTCCTGGGGATAGTTCTCATACTGCATCAGTAGCACAGACATGCTGGCAACTTATTGGCTCCAGAGAAGAAGCTGACAGAGGATGGTTTCATCCTGTTAGATGTAAAGGCTTCATCATTTTTGTTTAGCCATTTCTGCTGTGCATTATCTTTTCCAGATGTGTGCACAAAAATATATGCATTAGTAGGAGAATACAGGGGAATCTAACTCCACTGACCAACACCAGCAACTGAATGGGGATCACAGTGTCCTTCAGAAGTTTCCTATATACAGAAATTGGCCCCTGGGGTAGTGGCAACTGCGTGTCAGACACTGAAGATGAACTGACATTGAAATACTCAGAGGAACCATTTTGGAAAAGGTTGCCTGCTTTGTGTGTGTGTGTCTGTGTGTCTCTCTGTGTGTGTGCTTCAACTCATTGTATTGAGAAGGAAGGAAAGAAGGATATATTCTGCCAACTTGATTTCATTTTGATCAGAAATGTTATAATACAATTGGTTATATGTGGCTCCTATTACCATTCTTAAAAACAGCTCCAGGAGCTAAGAATTTCTCACTCTATTTTGTTACCTAGTAAGAATTAATTAATATATTAATTCAGCACTGTGTGAAGGTGTTGAATAAACAAGTATATTGCCCTCCACTTCTGGCATGGCCAATAATAATAATAATAATAATAATAATAATAATAATAATAATAATAATAATAATAATAATAATAATAATAATAATAATAATAATAATAATAATAATAATAATAATAATAATAATAATAATAATAATAATAATAATAATAATAATAATAATAATAATAATAATAATAATAATAATAATAATAATAATAATAATAATAATAATAATAATAATAATAATAATAATAATAATAATAATAATAATAATAATAATAATAATAATAATAATAATAATAATAATAATAATAATAATAATAATAATATTATTATTATTATTATTATTATTATTATTATTATTATTATTATTATTATTATTATTATTATTATTATTATTATTATTATTATTAAAATGTTGTTGAGTTGAACACTCAGTACACTTCTTTGGTGCCACAACCTACTTTGATGCTCTACTGTTGTCAATTGTAAAGAGAAGAGGGGTGGACAGTGTTCACCTTGAATTGGTTCAGTCCACAAGTCCAGTGGTAACTGAAGGATATCTGGCATGGTTTCTGCTAACACTAGTATTGCCAACAAGTATTGTCAACAGAAGCCGACCTAGCAGTTACACTCAGTACACTTCTTTGGTGCCACAACCTACTTTGATGCTCTACTGTTGTCAATTGTAAAGAGAAGAGGGGTGGACAGTGTTCACCTTGAATTGGTTCAGTCCACAAGTCCAGTGGTAACTGAAGGATATCTGGCATGGTTTCTGCTAACACTAGTATTGCCAACAAGTATTGTCAACAGAAGCCGACCTAGCAGTTTGAGAGCATGTAAAAAATGCAATGCGATAATTTGATTTAAGAGAAATCATTGTTTTTTTTTAATCCACCCTGGTTCCTAGCTTGTTTCACTTGATAGGCTATGGGGGAAAGGCAGGCAACACTGGCAGTGAAGGAACATATAGGAGCAATTGGGAACCAGCTGAGCATCCCTTGTTTGTATGAAGGAGATAGATTAAGAGTATGTTCTACATGCTTCTTGTCTGCATATATGTAGATAGGTAGCATTAAGACGGCAATGGCATATATCTTGAATGGCATGAAAGGGTATGAAATACTGCTCCTCTTTGGTGAATTTAGGAATGTGCGCTTGCAAAACTGCTGAATCCTTTATCAATTACTTGAATATACAATTCATATATATGGCTTACACAGTAGTGCTGGGTTTAGCTTGCTCCCTTAAGTTATTGGCTCTGTGCAGACGCTGTTTCTTCTTGCTTTCTGGCTGCGACACAATTATCTGTCCCAGACTGTGCTTTTATCTCTGAATACCTGATATCACATATTGATCATTCTGAGTGGCGGCTGGGAGCATAGAAATACCTGTAACAGCTCTGCAACCTACATGAATAGAGCATTTTCTTTGCCTCTCTATAGGCATCATCATTAATAGTGTTGTTGCTGTTTTTCAAGATGGGAAAGCCTAGCAGTAAAAAAAAACAACAACACTTGGGTTTGTTTTTGCAAAAATGGTAACTATGGCAATTAAAATGACTTAATAAACAGGTTCTATAGATCTGACACATCTGTATTCCTGATTGTTTTAATTGTTACTTTATTTCTGTAGCAGCTCCATCTTTCCCACCACAGAAACCACAATTAAAATTAAAATAAAATCAGGATCACAAGACTGTATAAACAAAAAACTGCAAACTCCCATCTTCATTAAGATGCTAAGACATGAAAGCAATAAGTTGTCAATATATATTCTGGTGTATCAAAGCGAAATGAGGCTTTCCCCCTTAGTTTCCACAATGTATACGTTCTAAACAAACAACTTCACCTTTGGTAGCCATAAAAACCCTGCATTTTCACATCATCCATCTTCAAAACATCCTCAGCCCAGCTGTCTCAGCTACAAGCCACAAAAACAACACACACACCCCTTTTTTTAAAAAAAAAAGTTTCTGAAGTCGAAAGACTGCAGTCTCCTGACCTGCCATGACCCCCGTTCAAAACCCAGCTTTTTGAAAAGCACCAACTTCATCCTGGATTCTCTGAAAAGGGTCACAGAAATTAACACGATTTGCACAAAAACAGAGACACACTCCCCACTCCAAGAGAGCCCTCATAGAGCAGAAAGAGTGGCTGTTACAGGAGAGGCCACGTCCTTTTCCTGAACCAAAAACCAAATGAAATTAAAGAATAGCATGATGCTTTTTATTTGTGGAACAATTATGGACCTTTTTTTTTGGGAGATGACTCAGCAGGGAAAAAGAAGCCTTTGGAGTCCACTTCACTGGGAGTTTCTTGAGCTTTTAAAAGTAGATAGCTGTCCTTCAGAAGCAGAGGCTCCCAACAGGCAGTGCAATTTATCATGCATTTTGAACAGGAAAAAAAAATGCAGCTCATTTCGCCCATCCTTTGCAAAAAAAGCCATCAAGCCACTGAAGGGTCCCCTATGATTAAATCACACCCTTCAAACTGAAGACAAAGACTCTTCACACCGGGCAGTTAAATAAAAATATAAGCAAACCAATAAGCAAACTCTTGATGTGTGAAGGGTTCTTTTCCCTGCGACTGACCTTTTGCAAACTTTATGCAATATATACATTGCACAGAGTTTGCAACTTTGCAAAACACATCTTCCAAAATCAAACCAAACCATCTTCCAACCATTCCTAGTCTTTCAGCAACACAGATGGGGGGAAGCTAAAAAAAAAAAAAAAAAAATCAGAAGAGCAAAACAGATTTTTTTGTTGTTGCAAAAATAAGAAAAGGTTCAAACAAGAAGATGCACCCAGGAAGCAGCTTGCAACTCCAAATTTTCAGGTTTGCATGCCTCTTTGCTGGAATAAATTCATTAAAGGGCTTTTTTTTTTTTAGTTTTCATTGGGAGGGGGGAAGAGAAGCAAACATCAACACAAGTCAAACAGTTAAGAGAGAAGGCACTCACCATTTGAAGGGAGGGAGAGGTTCCCAGAGCCACTTTTAACTAAGAATGAATTGGGGACAAACTCTTCCTCAGAGTCAGAGTCCTGAGTTGGCTGGGCCACACCGTTGCCTAGCAACCTCCTCTGGCTCTCATTGGCTGGAGGGGAAGGGGGAGGGGAGGGGGACTGCTCAATAGGGGTGGATGAGGCGGATGAACAATGCAGGGGAGGACCTGTGAACCACAAAACACAAAACACAAGACAGGAAAATAAATAACTTAAAAATTGCACGACACACAAACATACAACCGCACACACACACATATATATGCAACCATTGCAAAAACAGCAAACCAACCCAAGAAGGGTAACGCAAGGGTAAAAATACATAGAGGGGTTTAAATATATAAATACACACAAAAACATCAAATTACAATGGCATGCACAGCAGGAATAGGAGGAGCGCAGCTTTCAGTGCACCGTTGGGTTTGCACCCATAAGCCAGGAAAAGTTGCATTTGCCCTCACTGAAAACCTGCGGTCCTATGCCTGCTTCCATGGAAATAAACGGCATTAAGTAAGCCCTCCGAGTAAACACAGTGAGTAAACAAGACATAGGACTGTGATCATAAGAGGCAGGGAAAAGTTGTCCGGTTGAGGCCAAGAAGCCCTAGATTCATTTCTCTGGAATATTCTGCAGTTTTTTTAAAAGGTTAAAAACATAGCGAGGTTCATTTCTAAAGAACAATCTGTCCCAGCGTTTGAAACGGCAAATTGTTTCTGACTTGGAAAAAAATAAGAAAGCATTGAAGGTATACATGGGTGTCGTTTCTAAGCCGAATCGGTCCCTCTCCCGGGAAAGGATGAAGGTTGCCCCGTCATGAGGAAACTCAGCAGTAGCAGGCCAGAAGCAAAAGTCAATAGAAAAGTAATGCAGATCAAGAAAAGTATACCACAGAAATGCTGTTTTAATGGGATATGAGGACAGAAAGACAATAAGGCTGAGAAAAGGTGGAAGGGAGGAGGAGGAGGAGGAGAGGAACAGCAAATGCAAGATGGGCTGACTCCTTAAAGGAAGCCACAGGCTTGGGTTTACAACCCACGTAAGGCAGTTGAAGACGCAGGACCATTTGGAGACTGCTCATTTATAGGGTCGCCATGAGTCGGACGCAACGTGAGTCACGTAACAACAACAGGACACAGAATTACTTCTCACAATAACTCATATCCATTGCTTACTTTCCTACCCTGCGTGTCTCCTTAAGAAGGACCCCCCCCCAGGCAGCTTACATCATTCAAATATGACATTTAAAACAAACAAAAAAACAGTCAGTATACAGATAGTAAAAAGGAACAAACAGTAAAAGACGGTGGAGAGAAGCCACAACAAAACACATGCAAAGCAGCAAGGCGCACGCATCCATTTCAGAACCCCACTCAGGAAGCCAGTAAATAAAGGAAAGTTTGCTTGAAGAGAAAGGTCTTCGCCTGCTCGCGGAAATTGTTTTTAGAATCGCAGAATGCCTCGGTGGCTGGGAGAAGCGAGGGGGGCTGGAATACAGAAAAGTAATTCTCCCAAACTCTCTTCCTGCCTACACTATCACGACCATGCAGGCTGCCTTTATGCACACCTAAGGCATACTGATCCCACAGCGTATAAAATCAGCTACCCAAGTCGATGCCCGTGAGATGGCGATTCGCAAACCCATGGGAAATATACCTCCCAAGCACTGAGCATCCATTTTGTGGCTGCCTGGCTGATGTGAAGTGAGCTGGGCATCTGGACTCCGAGCCACCGGTCAGTTCAATCCCCCTTACTGAGCCTTGTGGGAGAAAAGCCAGCTGATACGGCCCTGGGCAAGTGACAGGTTCCAGATGACCCCTAGAAGAAGGGAGGACTTCTTAGCACTCTCTTACCTAGGAAACCCTGGGAAGGGCCACCAGAAATCAGAATTGACTTGGTGGCATGTAATTATTACCATTCGGCTAATACTAATGACCTCAGAGGCATTTGCTGAACCATATTTGCTAGGTCTAGGTGGGAAGGTAACGGAGTCGTTCCGTGTCTCGTCACACTGGCCACATGACCACGGAAGCTGTCTTCAGACAAACGCTGGCTCTACGGCTTGGGGACGAGCACCGCCCCCTAGAGTTCGACACGACTGGACTAAATGTCAAAGGGAATGTTTACCTTAGTGTATAAGTAAGGCAGTGCTTATCTAGGTGGTGCATTTGTTTCTCTATATGTACCCTACTGTGCAATGAAAATACCACTATTTTTCCTGCTGTCTCCCGAAGTTTCTCAAGATTTTTAAAGCATCTGTTTTCAAAATCAGCCAATTTCTGAAACAGATTAACAGTGGATGTCCACTGCCAAGGGATCTCATTGGTAACGTTTAATTTGGCACTTACCTACTAAACCGACAACCACATCCAACGAAGATCATTTCTGTTATGTATCCAGAATATGCTCACATGCCAAATTTTAGTGTGCTTGTATGCCCAAAGTAACATGGAGAGGAACCACATTAAAGCCATGCTCAGCTGAAGTAGATGCAGTATAAGAGTGGGATCTCAATGGGTTTTTCCGCATGTATGTTCTTGAAGACTGTCAAATATGATCCCCCTACGTTGTGCTGCAAGGTCAGAAGACCCGCCGTCGTAAGATCCAATCCACGCAACACACTGAGCTCCCATCGCTTGTCCCAGCTCCTGCCAACCTAGCCGTTCGAAAGCAGGTAAAAATGCGAGTAGATAAATAGGTACCACCATGGTGGGAAGGTAATGGTGTTCCATGTCTAGTCGCACTGGCCACATGACCATGGAAACAGTCTTCGGACAAATGCTGGCTCTACGGCTTGGAAACGGGGATGAGTACCACGCCCTAGAGTCGGATACGACGGGACTAAATAGCAAGGGGAACCTTTACCTTTTAAGTTGGCTAGCATCCCAAGCAAGACCCCCCTCAAGCTCCAGAAAACATAGCAAAAGTCTTCCTCTCACATATTTTTTTTAAAGTGTGGGGAGAGGGGAAGAAAGAGACATAATCCCAGGAAACCCATCACACATTTTCTGTTAACTGTAAGGAAAACAAATCACCCAGGGAAATCATTGCCAGACTTTACAGAAACAACAAAAATAAAAACTTGGTAACATGTTCTAACATGTTGTATAAAATTTATAGGTTAGCATAACCAAAACCGTACCACAACTGCCCTCCTTCGAAGAGACATGCAGTTAAAACACACTCACACACTGTCCGTCTCTCTCTCTCACACACACACAGCTTGAAAGAAATCCACCATGGTTTTCATTTGCTTAGATTTGGGTTGTTGTTTTTTTCTTCCCCTCCACAAAATAATTTGCTAAGGTTCAGAAAACTAAAACCTCATCTCCCCCTCCTTCTTTTCCTCCTTTCCTCAGTTTTGGTTGCTGGAGCATATCATGACAGGCAGGGGGGACCCCAGGAATAGTTCCTTCACTGGTTTATGTCAAGCTTTATGTTAAAAAAAAAAAAGCCATCCAAACCTTTTGTCCAAGCTTTTTTTTTGATCCCGGCTCCCGCTGAAAAGCCTCATCTGTGAGGCCAGAGTGAGCAGATGAATGAAACTCAACGCCCCACACCTCACCCGTGTTAAGAGGTGCCCCCTTGTAATTCAGATTCCCTCGAGGCCAAAACCTTGCCCTATAACTCCAAACTGTACAAGAAAGGGAGTGATTCAATCTCGCCCTGGGGCCCTGGCGTCTCATATCCAAGTAACTCCGGCATAATGGAACTTCGCTGAAATTGCTCTGCGGGCACCGTTTCGACCGGGCATGCAAAGAAGAACAACAATGAGCAGGTTAAGAGGAGTTAATGGCACCCAGTTAGCCCACCATTTTTGTACCAGGCAGAGCGGAGAGTTCTTAGACTTCTCGTCAAGATTTGCTATGAGCACGGAAAAAGATTACAGTCCTGCAGCCAAAGGCTCATCTTTTCCAACTTGCTATCGAAGACCTCAAGCCCCTTAGGCACACGGCCATAGATCCAGTCCCCCTGCCTGCAGAGTGCAAACATAACCCCTCTCCTGTTCGCCCCTTAGGCACATGGCCATAGATCCAGTCCTCCAGAGTGCAAACATAACCCCTCTCCTGTTCTCCGAAGCTGGGAAACCTTAATGCAACCTCACCCACTTCTCACAGAGCATCCTTCCACTAAATCTCAGGGTGTGCTCCCTTACCCCACTCCTTGTGTTCTCTCCACCTCTGCTCTGCTCTCAAATCCTAGCTCATCACTTTCCCTGCATCCTTACCTTCCAGCAGCATTTTAATTCTCTTACTGTTTTCCTATCTCTTCCTCTAGCTTCCCATTCGGGTTTCCTAAAGTGCATTTGAAGGAAATCAACCCCGAGTACTCACTGGAAGGACAGATCCTGAAGCTGAGGCTCCAATACTTTGGCCATCTCATGAAAAAGAAGACTCCCTGGAAAAGCACCTGATGTTAGGAAAGTGTGAAGGCAAGAGGAGAAGGGGACGACAGAGGATGAGATGGCTGGACAGGGTCATTGAAGCAACCAACATGAATTTGACCCAACTCCGGGAGGCAGTGGAAGACAGGAGGGCCATGGGGTCACGAAGAGTCGGACACAGCTTAACAACTAAACAACAACAACATGCATCTACACCCCATACTTATACGTAGCAGCTGGTCATCCAGCAAAGGTCCTTCAAATTTTTCTGTTGCAGTTCCAGGGAACAGGTGAGCACCTTGTCAGATAGATTTCCAAACACCTCCCTCTCTACACTACAAATCCCAGCATTCCACAGGATGAAGCCCCAACAGTTAAAGGAAGATCAAAATGTTCTCACTGTGCACTGTCAATACAGTCCTAAAAGCCGCCAGTCCTGGGCTTTGCTCATCCGACCCATCCATAGCCCTGACCTTAAGATCCAAGCCATGCTTTCTTCAGTGCCTGAAGACAGCTTTTTAGAAAGTTCTGCATCAGGAAAGCTTAAATATCCAAGTGGAATAGACCTATTGAATCAAGGCATGCAAATGTATGTTTCTGGATTCTGGGAGCTGTGCTACAAAAAAAAGGGCAAAGCTGGACTCCTTTGTTATTGAAAAAAAATTGCAGAATAGAAAAATCAACCCTTACGTAAATCTTAACAAACCAATGGGTGTCCTCAAGTTGAAACTACCGACTGGATTCAGGTCACCAGCACAAAACATATATTGCGCAATCTGCCACCGATGAAAGAAAGCAGGTGATGAGAATATAATCGGTGAAGATTCTCAGTCCTCCAGGTGAAATGAGAATATAATCGGTAAAGATTCTCAGTCCTCCAGGTGAGGTTATTTGGAAGTTGAGTCATGGCAACGGGACTTCTTTCTTATTCGGTTGAAACATTTCACTACTCATCAGTCTGAAGAAGCTACTTGGGCGAGTAGCGAAACATTTCAACCGAATAAGAAAGAAGTCCAGTTGCCATGACTCAACAGGTGATGAGAAATTCACTAACAAGAGGAAGAAGAGCAAGCTATTCTATGGTTGTATTTCTTCCCCCCTACCACCCCCCTGCCCAAATATGCTGTTTGGATCTTGGTCGGTCGGTCTCTGCCCTTCCCTCATCTTTCTTTTCTTCCACCTTTTTCACTCTTCCTTGCAAACTTTTGATTTCCTTCCGCTTGCAAAGATTTACCTATTCCCACGCAAAGCGAGGAAGGGAAGGGTACCTAACGATCTCCCCATAACACCTCTATAAACTGCTGGCAACTACATGCCAGGCCTTTGACACCTGGTCCTGAAAAACCTTCATAGAGAAGGTGCGAAAAATCTGGAGGCTGAAAGGCAAGAGAGCCCAAAATCCCCGGAAGTGTCGAACTGTTGCTAAATGCTTGAAACGGTATCTGCTCAAGGAGCCCAGGCTAGAGTTAAACAGAACACAATCCTCGTTCCCCCACCCTGCCATCTAGAAATGTATAAAAATGCAAACCATATGAAGATAAAAAAACTTGTTGTTATTATATACCATCAAGTTGTTTCTGACTAATGGTGGCCCCATGAATGAGCCATCTCCAAAAGGTCCCTGTCCTCAGCTGCTCTGCTCAGTTCTTGCAAACTCAAGGCCTGTGGCTTCCTTTAGGGACTCAACCCTTCCCATATTTGTTCTTCCTCTTTTCCTGCTGCCTTCCACCTTTCCCGGCAACATCTGTATTTTATTTTATTTGCAGATGGGGAGAAGGTAGTCT